TCAACAATAGTTACGTGCAAAAAGATTTAGTTGTAACAGGATATAATCTTCCACTGGCACTTAACACTAAACCTTTACCATCATATAGTTACTCAACTTGCAAACACTATGATCCCTCATTAAATATACTGATCTATGAGAAGACACTTTATCCTTGGGGTTATTATGGTGCTACAACCACACATAACAGTTTAAAAACCGTCTCTCTATGCAGAACAGTGTGTTTCTTATGCAGATTAACTATTACAGAATTAGGCTCTAATTTGGAAAATCCAATGAACGATTGAAAACAAACTAGAACATTTTTGGAACAAACCCCTAAAATATCAATTATCTGGCAACTCAAATCATCAAGATCAAAGTCTCTGGCAAGGTGATGAGTGATATGGCGCAGTCGATTCTTTCTGTGCGGCAAATCACTGCATTTAGCGAAAAGCTGGCTTTTATCTTAGCAAAGCCTCACTGCAATCATCGCAAAAGTATATCTCACCTTCTAGAATATATCCTCACACCAGCACAAAGAGGCTGGAACCCTAAGCTAATCAATGTGGGACTGTCCGAAGGAAAAGAATTGAGTCTCTCAAATGAACAAAAACATTTATGCATTGATAACTATGAAAACAGTTTTTGTTAGCAGATACGGGATAGAGAGCAGAATTTAGATTTTGACATAAAAATGATTACATGAATTATTGCTTTATTTTTTTCGTGATAAAACATTCCCACAATGTGAATAAACAACAACATTAATGAAAGATCACCCTCAACTTTTGCAGCAGAAGTAACACAATCTAGAGCGTCTCTAAATAGCCATCCAACTCGTTTTATATCTTGTAGAGATAATTACACACATTACTACTTCATGATGTACCAATTAAGTATATCCAGATTAGAATCACATTTTGTATCTTTGATTTGACTGTCAGCCATCAGATAAATATGTGTGTAACATCATAATGGAAATAGAAAACAACAAATCTTTTGATCTAAGAGCAATGGTGTGTGGAAAATGAATGTAATGCTGAGCATAGTTAGGTACAGAACCAACAAAGATCATGGATTTAAACCAAAAACGCATAGCAAAATGGTGAAACTCAATCAGAATTCCAACACCTTGTGCCTGTTAATGATTTTGTCACATAAATTCATTCTATACTACTTCCAAATTCACAACTTAATTCTCGTTTCTTTTAAGTTAAATGCAGTAAATACTTAATACAGCCTAATATTATCTCTAAAACAGGAGCCATTAACAAATTCACAACAGACAATTTCAATCTGTCCTTCCTTATCTTATAAGTGCGAAATTAACATATACCAAAGAAGTCCCATAGCTGAAAGAAAATTAAAAAAAAAACAAAAAATACTAATAATCAATCATATGGCATCTTACTAAGTTCATCAGGGCACACACTAATTAAGTATCAACCATGGTTATTGTTTTCCTTCATTTTGTTTCCCGCATATTCTGCACCCTCTAGCATGAGTTTAACAACCTAGCCGTAGAAAATATCCTGTTTTCCCTCGTCCTTCCTTTAAAAGAATGAGGAATATAAAAGGAAACCAATAATACCAACTCAACCCTTAAGTAAGTCACTATCTTACACTCGTACAAAATAAATATTGCAGAATCCGACATTTAGCTTTAATGAGATAGGATTCCTTACAAAACAACAAAATTCATAATTTAGCAGACCAAAAAAAAGGCTATCAAATTGCCATAAAAGCAGTAAATTTGTAATACTAACCACTGATACGCCAGCTATCAGTAGCACCACCTGTTGCTTTCGAAGCTTCCTTTCCAAATGGTCCCAGCTGATCCATATGTTCCTAAGCCCTTTCTTGGCCAAAATACAACGTGAGTAAAACATTTCTCACCCCACACTCAAAAAAAAACCCTAGCTTTCATACACCAATAATAACCTTTATTATAAATTTAACCCCAAACGCCAGCTTCCAGCTAACACACTGTATTACTTCAGCCAGCTTAAGAAACCCCCAAGATTTCTACCTTTAAGCTTCAATTTTCTGAAAAACCAAAGATAAACACTAGACATTCACCACATAAACTGAACTCCCAAAAAAACCCTAAATTTCAACTCCTAGTCAAAACGCGAAATTCAAATTAAACCCAACAAAACTCACCCAAATTAACAACCAACCCGGAACCCTATCTTCAAATACAACACAATTCCCTACTACTATCCTCCAAAAACCCTAATTACAAAACCCAAATTCGACAAACACCCCATACGAGCTAAAAAAACGAAACCCTAATTACTCATCTCATACACCACCACCCTCTTCGAATTTCTCAGCAATTAACCTAACCAGCTCCATTTCCAACGAAATTCACCGAAACTTGCCACCCGCAGCAGATCGAATCGTGTTGAACTGAAATGAGCAGAGCTTTGACGTAAAAACCCTAGATTTAGGCCCTCAAACGACGTCTTGTAAAGCTTATACCTTTGAGCTGAGTGAGAGATCGGGAGGGACGGAGGGGAGTTGAATTGATTTGAATTTTCAGAGAATAATCTAAATAGAGAGAGAAGAGAAAGAGAAGCGCCTTAAGTTTTTTGTTTTTGTTTTTGTTTTCAGATTTTAGAATTTTTTTTTGTTTTTGTTTTTGTTTTTGTTTTCATGTTCGTGTGTAGTTAAGGTGTGTGATTGCCTTAGTTGTCACTGTTTCATACTTTCATTGGTTTGAATTTTGGGTCCCATTTTTCTTACAAATTTCAAATTTGTCAACTATTTGGCTAAATTTTGATCAATTTGGCATTTTTTTTCATCAATGATGTATTGTATGGTAATATTAATTTGTTTTAATTTTATTTTTTTCTAAACTAAAAATTATCTTTTTTTATTTTTTTATTTTAAAATAAATTAATGACGTGAGTGCGAGATCGTGAAATTCAAGTCATTTTCTTCATATTTTTCCTAAAGATTAAGAGGCCGGTTGCATTCCTTTATGAATTCATTTTGTGTTTTATGAAAATACTTCTTTAATTTTTTCAAAAGTGAGTAAGGGATTGTAAAATTCAAGTTATTTTTCAGAGGTTCGAAGAAAACTGTAATCCATAAATCATAATTCGTTTATGATTTTATCTATATTTTTATGAGAATAATGTAAATAGCAAAAAAAGATCGATTTAAATTATATATTTTGAGCGCTTGAATACTCATTTGATATATATGTTGAAATACAAAAATGAAAAAATATATTTTTTTGTTTTCGATATATTTATTTAAAAAACACAATAATGAATGAAAATGAAGAAATCTACTACAAAAGCATTTTGGTTTAAAATTGGTAATAAACATATTTAACACGTTTTCTACCTTTTTTTTTTTTTATTTCTCTCCGTGCAAGTAGCCAAATTTGTTCTTGTTATTTTATGAGAGACTTCCTATTTTGTAATTGTTAAGAATCATAATATTTAGATTGTATTATTTTGTGAAAATCAAAGATATACCCATCTGTGGGTAGTCCAAACGATTAGGACAAATAGGAGATAGTGTAGATAGACGCGCGATCTCAAATTTAATTTTCCATTTGAGCATTTATGATTTGAGTGAGGAGGTTATAACAGTGGGTTGCTACGTTAGTTTTCTTGAAAATTAGTCAAAATGCATATAAGTAAAAAATAAACAAATAAGAGTTTATGTTAAATGATTGATAAAAAAAAAAAAAAAAAAACTTCATATCATGTCTCCAATTTTGCTCACTATATCATCATTTAATAAAAAATGAAAAAAAAAAAAAAAAGCGGGAACCAATCATTTTAACAATTATCTTATTATTAACCATAGGTAATGGTGTCCACAGAGGACAGCCAAACCAAACATTGCAACCATTACGTTTGATATGCTCAAATCATACCCAATATTCACTGAATAAAGATTTTTCATCCAAGAAAATGATGATGCTAAGTCTAGAAAGTTCTTTGATATATTTTGTACTATTTCTACTCATTTGTATTGTTTTTATAAAACATCAATGAAGTTATCCTTGTATTCTCTTAAGAGAAATTGTTATATCTGGACAACTAGAATAATGACATTCTGTTGTTGCTGTTGCTACTATTATAACCTTCTTCTTCCAGGATAAGCAAGGGGGAAAAGTAGGTTTGGTGTAGACTGTGAATGGGCAGAGGCTAATTCAGATAAAATTGAAGATCTATCTGCGGCAGCAAGGCGCCTTGATTTTCAGCTTGGATGGTAATGCTTCTTGTATTCGGTCAACGTTATTAATTTTTTGATAGTTTACTAATGTTGTTATTTTTATTCCTTGGTGCAACTCATGCTCATAGCATGAGGTAGCTTATAGATTGCTGAGTCTGATCCTTTCACTGCTTTTTTCTTATCTGTACTCCTTCAATTGCATTTCTTGTTTTTGTGAATATTTTCTATTCTAATGAGATATTTACTTATTTTTTGTATACAACATGTGAAACTACATTTGCTAAAACATCAGGGGTTATTTCTAACTTATTTGTTGATAAAACCAGTCTGTTATGTGATACGTAAATAGTTTTATGTTAATACTTATTAAGAAAATGTTCTATATATTATTTTGAATCCCTTTCATTCCGTTCTTGTTCAGGTACCTTCATCCATATATATGGAGAGTATCCCGAAGTTATGCGCAAAGACTAGGTGATCGGCTTCCTGAGTTCACACAGGAGAAAGGAGTTGCTTAAGCATGCTGTAGACTTTGTTGGCCTGAACCAGTATACCTCCAGTTCATTGCTCATGCAACCAGTCCCGAAGAGTGACTATTATAAATCCAAGAGATGGGAGAGAATTGGTATAATTACAACAACTTATTGTCAAGTTTTTTCTTGTAAATTTATTTCCTCTTCTAATGCTTCTTCCTTGTCATCATTGAATGGAAGGAGGTGAAATAATCGGTGAAGGTATAATGTCTCTCTCTCAGAGACACACACTGTCACACAAAGGCTGATGGACATCTTTACTTGCTGTCTGCTACAATCTTATAGATGCTTAACAGTCCCAATATTTTTATACATGGCAGGCAGCATCAGAATGGCTTATGTTGTTCCTTGGGGCATTCGGAAGGTTCTTAATTACATTGCAAAAACATACATGATCCCCCTTTTTTGTCACTGAAAATGGTAAGCACTTAACCTTTCCTTTGAATTAATAATTCAAATCTGCCACTGTGAGTATCTGGCAAACATGCTAAAATATTTTTAAATTTGTGGTATACTAATAAAAGCTTTTTTCTTTTGCCACTGGAATACATTCTTGAGTCAATAGGGATATTTATGAAAACTCTAATCAGTTGTAAGCTACCTCTGGAATGGTAAAAATCTTATTCAGTTAAAAATGGTAGTGTAGGACCTTCTGCAGTCGATTTTTGAGATATTAAAATTTTCTCTGACTGCTCAATTCTGCTCTATTTATAAGGTATGGACGACGAAGACAATGACACATCCCCACTCCATGAAATGCTTGATGACAAATTGAGAGTTCGGTACTTTAAGGAATACCTAGCTGCAGTCTCTCGGGCATTAAGTGAGTCACTTAATCTTCTACTGTTTTACAATGCTCAGAAGTTCATCTTTAAAAGTGGCTTATATCCTCAAATGTACAAACCTTGATGCCTTGTCAAATTACATGGATGTCTTTTCTGCATTGACATTCACTTGTGTAAAATTTGAGCTTTTCTACATGATGTATCATGTAATTCCAATCTCATTGCTATGATCCCTTGTTTTTACCGAGCTAATGGGACATCTGTCATTTCAATTGTACCTTTAATGAATTGTTCATGTTCATGTCTGAATTGCATTTATGCACCAGCATTTTTTCTAGTTTGGAGCACCTCTATAATAATGCATATGAACACGATCAGTCAGTAATGGAGATCTACAAATTGATCGGTTTAGTCTCTTGATTTCCTGAGATCCTACGCTTCCGAACATAAGGCGTCAACATTGATGAGAGGACATCATTCACATGCAGGTGCATTATTGCATATATTAATCATTGGAGACTTTTATTTAGGATATGCCAAAAAATAGTTTTTTTGCCGTGTTATTGTTTTGGTAGCTCATTTGCTTCGCATTTCTTCATATGCCCATAAATGTAATGCAGTCATATAGTTCAACGTTACAACATTTGAGACTGCGCATGCATTAGGCATGCTCGTGAGTCACTTGTATAATCGGTTTCTAAATTGTGAATTGGAGTAAAATGATTTCCGTTTATTGCTTTCGTGGCAGGGACGGAGCAGATGAGGGGATACTTTGCATGGTCATTGTTAGACAACTTGATGGGCTCAAGGTTATACCAACGTTTTCGGTTTGGTTTATGTTGATTACAAATGGTCTTGCCAGGCATCCCATTCTTCAGCTTACTGGTTCTTGCACTTTTGAAAGGCGGTGAAGATAAGAATGGCAAAGAAGAGTAATTGACTGTACTTATATATACTGCAGTCACCCTACTGAAAATTGTCTTGACCAAATAAAGCCTATGAACTTTCTTAGCTTTATTTATGTTTTCTCTTTATGCCTTACAGTTTTCATTTCATCTACTTCATCTTCCTAGTCTCGCTATTGAGATTGGTTGGTATATTTGAAAGAAGAAACCAGGTAGAATAGAGAGTGCTTGATGTCTCAAAGCCAGGAGTCATCGAGCGAGCAGTCATATCATCTATATGTTCAGAGTGTATGGAGCACGTCTTGAGCATGCTCTTTGATTTGGCATAATCATATGTTCTGTTACATTGTAGTAGTGCATCATGAACATGGTACGATATAGCGTAATAAAGTAGAGCGGTCAACACAATCATGTCATATGATAAGTACCATTTATGAGATTCGAGACCCAGACGTCGTTGCAGAGGTCAAGTATAAATCTAATCTCATGAAGATCAATTGATAACCATTTATTTTTTCATAATTAACAATAATTCATCCACCAAATGCTAATCCTATTTTGCTGTCAAACTTAAAATCAACAATTTTCATTTGCTTTGTCATCATTTCATTCTTATAGTCGTCCAATAAAAACTTATCGTGTGACAACTGTTATCGAACAAGCACATAGATGACGTGATACACTCGTCTTATCCACAAAATCCAATAAACAAGTTATCTAGATTGTAATTAGTAATAGTTCTGGTTCTGGGAATCGAAAATATGTAGACAAACATAATCATCTTCAATTGAAACTGTTAAATATTATACAGATATATACATAAATTTATCACCTATCATCCATTAACATTTGGCTACAATCAACAGTATGACCTGTGGCACTGGATCTTGCTGTTACCTACCAATTACATCAACTAAATAAGGGCATAATTTGAGCAAAAAAGGGAAAAAAAAAAAAAAAATAAAATCCAGTGAGAAATAATCCCCGACCCAGATCAAGCGTCAGCCGAACTACAACTACATAAATCTTCCAGAGTATCTGCCTTTCCTATGTGAGGGATCAGAAATCTGATTTTATGGCTTTGCTCGCGGCTTTTATTATGTTCTCCAAGGCCTTCGGCTGTTCTACCTGGATAATCCTTTGTTTTCAGAACCTGACATTTGGTTAACCAAGAATTCGTTATGAACGATGAACAGTATCAGAGTTGAGCTGTGTATGGCTAAGGAATAAATTGCACACTTCTGCAAACCCTCATATGACTTTGCAGTTCTCTTGTCGAAAAAACAGAGTCCATGAAAGTTTGATGACATACCAGTGTTTCGAAAAACATTCTAGCTTCCTTACGAGTTTTACCAGCTAATAGTTGTCCAAGGCAAGAACCTTTCTTCCTTGTACAGGTTCATTCTCAATAGAGTTTGCAAGTACTTGGCAACAGCCCTACAAAAAGAGTACAGATACAATAAAACAAAGTAGCTCCTAGTAAAAACGGCAACTATAGCAAATATTACTAACCAAATGATTATTAAGTTGAAATAAACAATAAAATTGACAACCCCAATAAACGTGGTGACTCAATTACCCCAATCATCTATATCAGAAGGCAATATTGATTAAAAAAAAAAAAAAAACATTGAGGGCCAATCCTGGATTAAATCAAATCAACCTCATTTTGGAAAGAGTGTGAGACGGGAAACCAACAAAAAAAAAAAAAAAAAAAGCAAGGGATGGAGGCAACAAACGTAGAGTTTCTTCCGTGGTAGTATACATGAACAGGAGAAATCAACCAAAGAGTATACACCCCTTGTGCGGGAAGACCATCCACTATTCTCAAGAAGGCGAGGTCTTCAGGCCCCCCATCCCGCCATCAGGATCTTCACTACTTCATCATCATCCATTCAGAAATTCTGAAACAAAATGAAACAAATCAGCCAACAGACTCAGCACACATGCACTAGAACTAGAAGACTTTCTTACTATCCTAGATCACAGTTTCAACTTCATCACACACAAGTGTCAGAAATTTAGATGGTATTCCAGTCCCAGAAAATGAAGCTTACAATGCACTAAGAGAATAAAACCTTTGAAAGATGTAAAAAGCCACACAATGATTTGGTTTCAGAAATTGATAATTATACAGTGGTCGCCTATCCCTACTCAAATTCACTCAATAGGTAAATGAAATTTTCATAAAGCAGCACTTCATTCAGCCAACAAACTTAATGATTTCTGTTTAAAGCTTCTCATGAGTAAAAAATTCTAGGAGACTCAGAATTCCAAACAATAATTAAACAAAAGAACGAGAAGCAAACCTGTATCATGCCAACTGTGATGCCTTCAAGTTCCGTATCACAAAGCAAAGGCAATTAGGAAATACTCAAAATTATCTATGGACCCCTCACTTCTGTCAGTAGATATAAAATTTTACAGCCGTCTTTACATCGATACAAAGAGTCAGAAGACCACTGAACAAATGCATACGCTACAGAAGAAAATCCAAAAAGGATCAGTTGTCCACTTACACCACGATCTTCAGCAGCAGGATGGTCAACGTCTGGAAAGATTGGGTTTTCTCCATCATTCAATGAAGTATCTTCAACTCTGTATCATGTTTAACTGAATTTGTAGAATCTATTAGAGGTTCTTCACCATTCCACATGTAGTGTTGCGCCAACCTATCACAACCACGTCCCCAGACAGGAACCCTCTTCATTCACAACACCATGCAGTAAAATCTGTCAGACCACTCACCTCTCATTTTCTACAGACACACACATTTTGCCTCCCTCCAAAGGAAGTTCATCCCTTGCTTTCATTCACTATCAATTGCAACAGTATCTTCTCCTTCAGCAGCATCAACTACTTCCCATTGTTTGTATCCATTAAAGTAGCACTGTCTTCAATAATTGAAAATCCAATTTCTGCTCAGGTGTATGCACACCTCCATCTGCAGAGAAGCACCACACCATCGTTTTATGTCACTGGGCATGTTCTGATTTCTACAGGACCGTCAATCTCAGATGATTTCTCAATCCCATGAACGTGCAGAGCAATTAGCTGCTCAGCACTTCACCAGTAGCTCTGTCATGTCCATTTCAGTTACCTCGGCCAAGGTTTCATTTGGCACTGTTTCACTCAGTGCATCAGTAATAGCATTGTACCCCCTTGAGCATCACTCATGAAATCCTAAAAGGTGGTCACTAATGAATCACCTGCGGCTGTGCTTCAACATGAACCACAGGATCTTTGCTACCTTCCTCTCCACCTTCAACATTAGACCTAAAGGAGCACTCTGCATTCTTTGCTGGTTCAGAAGACCATGATTTTCATCAGTTTCAGAAACCCTGATTGCTCAGATCATGTGTTTCACAGTGCAAACTCATTATTCTGCTGACATACCTGAAACATATACAAAGCCAACTGATTAATCTGAATGGATGGTTAAACTCCTTAATTACCTGACACAAATTTGTTTCAATAAAAACAAAATGAAAACAAAGATATGAACTTAGTGAGGTATAAAAATTCTTTGGAAATTGATATTACAGTACAACAACTTATGTCACATGAATTGTCTGATGAAACTTGAATCCCGAATATCAGATATCACGTTTCAAACTATGTCAAATTCACAGGTAGAACGCATGACGAGGATAAACAATCATATTGCAAACTGTAAAGTAACACACCAGCAGAATGTTGAAACCAAAGAACCCACTTTGTGACAAAACCTTCTAGTGGGTACCATCGATATTTTCGTCACAAATTATCCATTTTTGTATGATTCATATCAGCAGATTCCATGACACTAAGCTATCAGATATGTGAATCAACCCCCACTAAGGAAGAAAACAAGTATAAAAGAGAGGGAAGGGGGAGACTGAGAACCCAATATCATTCAAAAACACAAATAAGATTCTTCTATGTCAATTACATTAAGCGGAAGCAGGGGCAGGGGCAGCCAGACTAGTAAACTTTTAGCACTACAACTCACCAGTAATACAGGTCCTAATAATATTTCATCCTCAAGAATTGTATCTGAATCATCAAATTTCAGGCAAGTGCAGAGCTTTTTTTCGTATCCGTCGTATGTCTTCAGTATTTGTCCATTGTTGGCGTATTATACTTCACAAGAT